CCAGTTCTTTTTAATCCTAAGGAGTTAAGGATGAATTTTGAAACCCAAAGGTTTACACTTCCAGATGCTGTCACATGTCAAATGAATCAAGCTACTATCTGCCAGGTGAGCTGCTGGTAATAAATGTACATGCTGCCAACACGCTTTCAGATTCCGGGAAAAGATACAAGCCACAGAAATAAAGGATGCATTTTGGGCAAAGTTAAAAGTGAATGGACATTTAGTCCAGTTGAGCCACAATATCTTGGTTTGCTTTTGGTTACATGCTCAAATTCCTAATAACTAAACAAAAGGTGCTCCAGCATACCTAAAACACAATCCTAGTAATTTTATTTCAGAAATTGAGTATACCTATGAAAATCTGAAGTATGCTTTGAAATCATCACCTTTCCAACATCTGAGCAGCACCTACACAGAAAATTTCAGTTCAAATAAGAATATTCTTGCTCGCTCTACTTTCAGGCTGGAATTTTGAAATAAACATCAGATGCAAACACATTTCTTGAGAATGTCCTCAGAACACAACATATAGCTAGCTATACCTGGTTTTGATTTTGGCATGGGTCTTTTAAAAAGATTGACTGTCCCAAGGTCACCAATGTCTGGAGCTTGTTTCTGAATAGAAACCTAGGCAAAAAAAGAATATTATTTGATATTTATTCTCTGTTGAAAGCGTTCAAATAACAAAACAAACCCCACACTACATTACTAAAGTTTCTCTGGCAAACCTTTATATAGGCTGATCCTTCTAAATCACTTGGAATTTGAACATCCAAGGGACAGTAATCCTCAGGTATTTTTTTATCCAGGTCAATGTCAGTGTTCTTTATCACCTCAAAAGTGCCATGATGAAGAAACAGGGAACCTAAGAAAGGAAAGGCAAAAACACACACACTATAAAGCATCTTCTGCAGATGAAGCAGCTCATACCTCTATTTTGGAAGAATATGTATTTCTAATTCTCCAAACCTCCACAGTTGCACCTTACTCAGATGTCTTAATGAATTCTTAAAAAAAAAAAACAACAAAAAGTTCATCTCAGCACATCAGCATCTCAGTCCTCCAGTGCCTGATGTGCAATACTTTACAGTAAGTTAACAAGTAGTACTAAACAGTCACGGGAGAAAACCAACAGTCTTTCAAAATGGTGTCAGCAGAAGCAGGGAAGGATAAAAAACGATATTTGGTTAAAATAAGACAAAAAATTAACTGCCCAAAGTTTTGCAAACAAGTATCTTAGGGTGCAACATCCCTATGGATTTAAAGGAATGCTGATGATATTTGGTTTGCATAGTTAAAACTATGACAGTGTTCAGTCTATAAAAACCAGCCACACAGCCAGTCACTCAAGTGGAACTGATGAAGGCAGATGTCCATATCTTTTGCACCCCTTTAACATCCAGAGCATTGCTCAGCTCGTTTAGGATAAACCATCTAAAAGACACATATCCTGAGTTACATCAACAGCTTCTTCATGAACACAAGATTAATAACCCTAAATTTGACAATGATGACAACTGGAACCTAACATAACCAGTTTAGGTGCCTGCTTTGTACCTACTTCTTAAGTTTGGCGAGATTTTGTATTCACTCCTTCATAATTGGCTCTGTAACTTACTGTAATTCAAAAAATAATGCATATTCTCAGTATCATTTCTCACAAACATAGGAATAACAGGTATAATAAATCTGTCTTCACTCAAGAGACAAACGCAAGATGTTCCTCAATCTCTTAAAAATTATATACACACCAAATAGAGATAAAAGCCAAAGATTTGCAAATTCTACGTGTCAAGTGATCAACTGTATTGTCAATTCAGAATTGCTTCTGTAAAGGAATCTGTGTTATAATCCTACACAGTCAGCTTTTAAAATCACTTTCTAGGTTGAGGATGGCAGGGTATTTTCCCTGATAATCAACCAAGTTTTCTCCTTTTATAATTCTGTCTCACAACCGTAATAACATTTCAGACTGGGAAAACAGAATATTTTTAATAACAAATAATATCAGATAATGTTATTTGTGAAATATAAACATCCATTCCTGAGAAAAACAAAACATCCCACTGTATACCTGCACTTCTGTAGCTCAGATCGCCAAGAATTTTGTCTCCCACTTTCCTCAGCTTCCAGTGCTGCCTCAGTCTTAGCAGTTCAGAGTTGAAGTCTCTTTGTCGCTTATTTTCCTGGCTTTCTGCAACTGATTTAGATAATCTTTCTGCACCTTTCAACAGAATTTGAGCTGCTCCAGCCAATGACTTCTTTTTGGAAATCAGCTGTAGAAACTGAGGATTCTAGTAACAAATAAAGAGAAAAACTTCTTGTGTCTTAATTCTCCAGATATTATTAGTGCAACTAATTGCCTGTGACTGGTAATTTAGTTTTGCTGGATGTTCAGTAACTTGTTTAGAATAACTTTCAAGACATTATTCTATAACCATAAATAGCATTTTGACTTACAGGTTCAGCAAAGAGACTTTTGAAATCAGCCTCACCTCCCATTCTCAGCCTTCCCCCAGCCCATAAAGCACATCACAAGGAACATTTTACTAAATCTTGTATATATGATACACAAAAAACACCAGCGAAATAAAATCTTCAGTATCAAGTCCTAAGAACTACACTATTAGGTAGAATATACCTGTTTTGGAGGAAGGGGATCCTGCACAACGGGATCTAGGGTCATGAACTTTTTATCCTTGACAATGCTCAGAACATCATACAACACACACATCTCAGTCAGGGCGCTTCTTAAATTGTTCCTCACTGAATCCCAGGGCCAGAGGGATGGCTGAAACTTTACCAGCCCTAAACACAAAACAGAAGAAGGGAAAAGAAAGGATTGCAAAAAAAATACTGCGTGAGGGTCATTCTTAAACCACAGAGCGATCATAACGGTGTGAAACACGCCATAACAGCACGCTCTCCGGGGCTATCCTTTTCCACTCTCTCACTGTAACTTGCTGGGACTCGGTCACGATTATCCCGACCGTGGGGACCCACGGGGAAAGGCAGGCCAGGCCCAAGCGCCCGTGGGGCTGCAGGCCGGGCAGCCCACAGCTCGGCAGGCCTCCCTCAGCTGCAGCCTGGCCACAGAGCTCAGGGCTGCGGGCTCACCGTCCCTCACCTTCCTCATCCTCCGCCTCGCCCGGCTCGGCCCAGGCGCGGCCCGCCGAACCCGGCTCGTCCTCCTCGGAGCCGGAGCCCTGGCTGAAGTCGATGCGCTGCGCCAGGCGCGCCAGGTTCTGGGACATGGAGAGGGGCTGGAGGTAGGTCTCACTGCCATCCAGCCCCACCTCCTGCACCTGCTTCTCGCACGCCGACTCGATGCTGATGCGCACCGCCGGCACGCCCGCCATCTTGGTGCAGCACCCCCACTGCCGGGACGGCGCACGACCCCCCGCCTCGGCTACGGGCACCGGGAAGGGGCGGGGGCAGAGCCGGGCAGGCTCGGCTGTTTCCGGACGAGGCTCGGGGAGGGGCTCGGCTAGCGCCGGGCAGGCTCGGCTGTTTCCGGACGAGGCTCGGGGAGGGGGCGGGGTCAGCACCGGGCGGGCTCGGCTGTTTCCGGAAGGCGCTCGGAAAGAGGCAGGGCCAGCGCCCGGCGGGCTCGGTTGTCTCCGGAGGGCGCGAGTGGCGGCCTCCCCTGAGGGGCTGGCGGCTCCTGAGGGGACGACGACGGCGGCGGGGCTGCCTGGCGTTGCTGTTGCCACATTTCCACTGCCCATGGCAATATACCGCCGCTCTCTTTCCCCCTCTCACGGCACAGGCAGCCCCCAGCCGGGTTCATTCCTTCGGGATGGAAGAAACCGGTTCATAAATTTGGCTTCAGCCATTTTGTATATTTCGGCCAGTATGCGTGTACTGAAAGGGGGCCTACTGATAGTAGACTCTCATGAATTGTACTTACTTAATTATTTAATCTTCAGAAATGTCCTTGCTCTGTTAAGAGATGTCCTTGTTCTGCAAAAACGTTAGCTAAGTTAACGTAGACTGGAAAGTAACCTCCCAAACAGGAGCTCAAAGGATGGGGGAGTACCATCGTGGCCGAAGGAACCAGCCTCGGCCCGTAGAGCTCTCAAGCGGGCTGTGAAGGCCGCCAAGTGGGCTGGGTTGCTCTAGAGGACAACTGAGGAAGAGGAGGATAACCACCACCTGATGAGGTAAACCACCATAGGAGTGCTTGTAATTACTAAAAATGGGCAGTAGACGGCAGCAAAGACCGTGAAATAACATGTAGCTGCATCAGCTCATCAAAGGCGTGCTTAGGCTAATGATTTCTGAGAGTAGCTTGTGATTCTGTGAAAAGGTGTGAACTGGATCTGCAATAGGTTAGGCGGCCGGGAAGAATGTGAGCTCCAACTTCCCAACCGATGTGAAGAGACACAGAAACCCAGGCGGCTGGGATAAACACCTAAAAACTGAGAGATTAGCTGTGCCTTTGCTTTGAGATGCACCCGATTCAGCACTGTTTCGTAATTTTTTTTAATAAACCTTTTTATACTGTTTTAATCTTTGCTTCGGTGACTGCGAACTGAGAGCTGCGACTCTTTAGCCTGGAGAAGAGAAGGCTGAGGGGAGACCTTATTAATGCCTATAAGTATCTAAAGGGTGGTTTGGGGGAGGATGGAGACAGACTCTTTTCAGTGGTTCCCAGTGACAGGACGAGGGGCAACAGGCTCAAGCTGGAACAGAGGAAGTTCCGCTCAAATATGAGGAAGAACTTCTGTACGGTGAGGGTGACGGAGCCCTGGAACAGGCTGCCCAGGGAGGTTGTGGAGTCTCCTTCTCTGGAGATATTCAAAACACACCTGGACCTGTTCCTGCCCAGAGGCTGCTCTGGGTGACCCTGCTTTGGCAGCGGGGTTGGACTGGATGAAGGTCCCTTCCAGCCTGTACCATTCTGTGACCCTGTGATACCGTTTGAATTCAGCTGTAACAATTTCAATTACACGTACACTCTGAATTTCTCCCTTTAACGCAATTAAGAAGTTGGCAGGTTACTGCTCTCATGTTTTATTCTTGACTCTGATAAATGTGCATAATTAAAAGCGCTTATAAAAATCATCATTTGTATTTTAGAAAGATTGAATTGCTGTGCCTGCGCCGGAGCCTCCTCCCGGTCTCAGTCTCTCCCGACGAGGTGCGTCTCCTGGGGCCGGTCGATGCGGAAGAGCAGCTCGGCGGGCAGGAGGTACCCCAGGTACTGCACGCTGTCCGGGCTGGTGTCCTGGTGGTAGTGTCCTCCTTCCCCGTGGTGGCTGAAACAGTGGGTGTGCTCCACACGCAGGTCAAAGCCCTGTCACCAGAGAAAGGCCCGTGAGCACACGTTCGTGTGAGCAGTATTTAAAAGTCCTGGGACAATCCCTCCTAGAGGAGTATTTCTACACATCTCAGAGTCTGCTGCAACCATTAAGCACTGAAAATTTGCATAAGACGAGAAGAGGAGCTGTACAAGGCTTTACCGTAGGATTACAGAGAGAAAAGAATTTAGAAACTCTTGACAGCCCCCGACTTCTGTTACAAATCTCACAGAGACTTCCTGGGTTGTTTTTTTTCTCCTTTCTTTCCCTTGGGATTAGATAAATCAGTCACACCAAGGAACCCCCGCCGGACATCAGAACCTCTTGGCACTGAATGCCTCAGACCCACGCAATAAAGGGACAATCTCTACCTCAGTTCTGAGAGCCAGCTTTGATGAAAATGGGAAGAATAGCAAATAAAATAACAACTAGTGAGATCACCCCACCAGCTTTATAAGTTACAGAATGATGGAATGGTTTGGATTGGAAGGGACCTTTCAAGATGATCTGGTCCAACCCCCTGCCATGGGTGGGACATCTTCCACCAGATTAGATTGCTCAAAGCCCCATCCAACCTGGCCTTGAACACCTCCAGTGATGGGGCATCCACAACTTCTCTGGGCAACCTGTTCCAGTGCCTCACAACCCTCATTATTAAAAATGTCTCCTTATGTCCAATCTAAATCTATCTTCTTTCAGTTTAAAACCATTGCCCTTGTCCTGTCACACCTGGGTGAAAAGTCTGTCCCCATCTTTCTTACAAGCCTCCTTTAAGTACTGAAAGGCCACAATAGGGTCTTCCTGGAGCCTTCTCTTCTCCAGGCTGAACAACCCCAACTCTCTCAGCCTGTCCTCACAGCAGAGGTGCTCCAGCTCTCTGATCATTTTGATGGTCCTCCTCTGGACCTGTTCCAACAGCACCATGTCTTTCTTGGGGCCCCAGGGCTGCAATCACCACTCCAGTGGGGGGCTCGTGAGAAGGTGAATCACCTCCCTCGACCTGCTGGCCACGCTTCTTTTGATGCAGCCCAGGATATGATTGGTTTTCTGGGGTGCAGGAGGATACTGATGAGTAATTCTACAGCACTTGAATGCCATCTTCTACTGCCTGTCTCTGTAACAACACTCAAACGTTTCCAAAAGCAAAGGCTTAGCCAAGTGCTGTTGAGCTGCCGGTGGATACAGATGGGGAAAACCCAGCTGCATCCACTACACAAGCTGCACTGGTTCTGAATGGAGCAGCTGTCCGTGGCTGTTTTCCAAGTACTCATCAGTTGGTTCTGAGAAGATGCACACAATTTAGCCTTAGGCCGAAGGCTGCCACATGCCTACAGAATAAAGTCACCCCATTGAACACATCCAAGCCTGCAGCATGTCTCATTTTAGTCTGAAAAAATATTTCTTGTATTATGACTGCATCGTTATTTATAAAACAGTCATTTTCATCTATGGTTTCCTGGTTACTTTTAAACAAATACTCTTCCTAATGATGAACATCTTAATGTCTTTTGAAACCAGATTGGGTTTTATCCTGAATTGTTTGCTGTTGAATTCGGTGCTTGTGAAAGCTGCTAGATAACTTCCTAGCATGAGGCTTTGCAGGCTTCAGTTTGCATCAGCAACGAGACACGCGCGTCACATATTTCGACTCAGCATTAGCAGAGGCCGTTCTTACGAGAGGGAACTAACTACATGAATGTACAGCTGAACAAGCTTCCACACTCTTGACATTTCTTCTGGTGTGGCCACCAGTGAATGCAATATTCCTGTTGTGTTTGTGTCCCAAACGCTTGCAACTGCAACTGAACCATTAAGTTCCATCCACTGTGAACAGCCACTAGGTTTCACAGCAGAGGGATGTAGCCACAGCTGAAGCCAGTGACAGAACCGAGGAGCTTCTATGTCATTACACCACCTCTGGAAGGGTTAAACACAATATAAGCACACTCCTGTTCTTAAAAGGAAAATCACATCCAAGACAAAATTCATTACAAGTCTCAGTTTACACTTAGAAATGAGAAAAAGACTCACAGGATCTCTGGAAACGATTACTGTCTGACAGATCAGTGGAGCCTTCATTTCAAAGAATTTCAGCCAGTTATTCACATCCTCATCGGTGTTCAGAGGACAGGCAGAAAATTCTGGAGGCTACAGCAAAAATAAAAGCTTTATAAGTGAAAGGAAGATACTTGATCAAGACACTTTTCCTCTAGTGACTTTCCTTTGCTTTTCCCCTCCCCACTATTCTGTTTCGTTTCCTTCTTCCCTAAAAGCAGCTCACCAGTGCCTGTTACTGTGTTACTGCTGGAAAAAGAATTGACCAGAATATTTCTTCTTTCACTGCACAGGTAGTGGGAGAACTACTGAAGTGAGGATTCTCTTCCTAGTGTATTTTAGAAGCTCAGTTATTTTTAAAAAGCCTATTGTTTCTTCTAAGTATCATCTCAACTCACATATTTAATTTCAATTCATTTTACAATAGGTCTACAGTTCTTTGGCTGCCCACAGATTTCAAAAGAAAAGATGAGGGTATTAAGGCCAAGTAATACAGCACCATTAGTTTTGCAATGTCAGTTTTGTAATGTCAGCTCCTTACTTTACTACGCTGTTTACCCTAACAGTTTATGCATACATTTAAAAATACAAACCAAAGTGAAGGCACTTAGATGTTACACCCCGATTTATACTTGTGTTTTCAGAAGGCTGAAGGAAGTTACATGAATTGAGAAAAACTTACCATAATGTGAATCTTTGCTTTCCCCTTCTGAATGACAAATGTACCACCCATCCCAACTGGCTTTTCTCCATAGTGTTTCTCTAAAATTTGTCTCAGACAAGACACAAAGTTAAGTTCCCCAGTTCTTCCATTGGCTTTCACTTCAATGACCTGGAGAATAAAGTTAATTTGTCACTGCTGTCTCCCGCTGCGATGGTTCACAAAGGTCTGTGAAAGCTGCTCTGAAATTCTCCTGAGCTTATAACCCAAGATTACTTTCTGAAAATGTGAGTTTCCCTGTAAGTGCTGCTCAACTTGCCTCTGTCCAGTACCTCACCACTCTCTTGCATGACTTTCTGTTCAGTACCAGTTTTGCCTGTGGAAGGTGCTGGGCAGCAAGTCATTCCACTCACACATGAGACAACAGTATAAGCAACCCCTTTCTCCCCACCACTCGGCTTCCACTCCGTTCTAAAGAAACTCTGGGAAATAGAGAATACTGCTCAGTTTCCCTGCAGGAGTCAGGTTTTGGACTGCTCTGCCAACACCTCTTTGTCCTAGTTGTGTTGGAGGAAGCACTTCTACAAAACACTAGACGAGTGCCCAGACCTGATTTACACAAGTCAGTCATTGTAAAACCGTTGCATTAAATCACTGCTCGTTTGGACTGGATTTGGATGGATGATTTATGATGGAAAATTTGCAATGGAAAATTTTTACTAAACTAATACTTATCCCTCAAAAATTCAAATGTCTATCTGTCCCCACCAATTCTTCCCCTCGCTTACCAGTAGCAGTTCCTTATGCTTGGATATTCTATCATGGAATTACTACTTTACTATTACCACAGAAAACTGCTAGGAGAACATCGAAACATGAGTTTCCCTTCAGCCACAAAGCTCTACAAGCAAAGTCACCTTTGATCCAAGCACGTACCTTACCAGGTTGGCCCTCGCTGGCATAAAGGTTGGCCAACAGCCCAAACTCACAGTCAGTGTATTTGCTGCTGTACTTCTCAAGCAGGCACCCTTTATCTGCAGGATTTATCTGAGCGATGTAGCTCCCGTTTACAGCAGGCTTTTTTTCAGTCTTAGTTTGAACAATAGGGATAAGCTGAGAAAACGAACATGTAAGAATAAGCCGCGTAAGTTGATAAGGACATACAAGAGTCAGTCAAACGAACAGAACTCACATAAATGCAATTTAAACTTGCGACTGTGATCCCAACAAATAATCCCCTTCATCACACAGCTGTCTCTCTCAGCATGAGGTCTGTACTAGTGAGAAAAATACACTAATATTGTAACGTAATTGAAAACTGCAGGAAACAGTTTTACTTTCTCTGTAGATGAATGCTAGTGTTATAAAAAAAATAAAGAAGAAAAAAGTCTAACCATTGAGATATGGGGCCTGCATGCAAGTGGAATTCCATGTATAAAAAAAATAAAGAAGAAAAAAGTCTAACAAATGAGATATGGGGCCTGCATGCAAGTACTGGAATTCCATGGGATACTTTCTCAGTGTACAGTAACAGCTACTATTAGAGTGGCCCAAATATAATGCTGAGATGGTCTATAAATGCATCAAAAGGAATGGTAAGACCAAAGGTTTATACTTGAAAAGACTCTTAACTAACCAAAGCTGCCTCAGGCAGTAGTTTTTGTCTCCTGCCTCTCCTGCCACCGATCATTTTGTATGTGGCATCTTTAAAATTTACAATGGTAAAACACAGCCATCCAAGAGGGCAAAAGACAGGGAGAATTTCAAAGGGATTTACCGGTAACTTTGACAAGTCTTTCTAAATCTTGTCTTTAAAACCTCTGGTCAGGTCTTTGTCAATCAGTTTCAAAAAAACATGTTTCTTGCGGGCTTCAAAGCAATCACATGCTTCCTAGAGAATTACAAGTTAAAAATTAATCTTTATTATCTCAATAGTGTCCACCTCATTGGTTGGCCCTCATCTGAATTCCTTCTAATGTGTTTTATGTGCTTTTGGCATGAATGGTGCTTATTAAATGTTTTGTGGTAAATGGGAAATACCCAGCATGATACTACTCTACTACTATGATACGTCCATGAATTCATTGAAAACCATCACACTTATTTACTGACCTCTGCATTTACTCCAAGAATCTTAGATGAAGCAGCTCCAGCTCCAAGAATGAAAGCTCCAGGTAGCTCTATGTCTTTTGCAACTGTATTTAGATCATAAACCTGCAAAAAAGGAAAAATCCGTTTGATTTTGGTGTGGTGCTCTGATTTGGAATTGTAATTCTGTTCACTGTAACCTCTGGACCCATTTAATTCACAATGCCCTCATTAGTATTTTGGATAATTAGGTTGGTTTGTGAACACCACAACATTTGGTAGTAACAAATTGAGTATGTGCCCATCTGTTTAATGAAAGGTAGAGTCTGCCTGTGTGTTCCCCTGCCATTTTACCCAAAACAAAATTATTGTTCTCATGAAAATTATATTTGTGTAGAATAAAAAATTGACGTAACTATCATATGGAGACAGATGGGGTGAGGTGTCAGAAAGGAGGCATGATATCCTTGGAAAAGGACAGTAATGTGAATCCATTGTTGGCCTGAAAATACAAATACAGCCAGTTTTCACAAAGAAGTGTAGCTGTGACTTGAAATCCGAGGCGTGCAGCAAGCCATATGCAAACACACAGACAAGCCCCTTGTTTAGCAGCTCCTTCCATGGCTCCTGTCACAGACCATACGTCTCTAAAACCCGTATTTGAGGGCAGGAGAAGATGAACCATCACCCACGATACGCTATTTTTGCTACGATGTGTAAGATTAGCTGATGTAGTCTATGTTCAACATAAGTCAGAATCAATCCCATAAATCACTAAGAAGTAAGTCTTTTTTACCAGTGGAATCTTACAGTATCTGTTAGTCTTTAGTTTTGTGTATATTTCAACAGATTAGCTGATGTAGTCTATGTTCAACATATGTCAGAATCAATCTCATAAACCACTAAAAAGTAAGTCTTTTTTACCAGTGGAATCTTACAGTATCTGTTAGTCTTTAGTTTTGTGTATATTTCAACAAGATACTGCTTTTCTTTAGATAAATGTATTAAGCCCCACAGCTACAGGAAAACCTCACCTTTTCTTTCTGTACAACAGGTATGAGGTAAGGAACCCCTCCCACATCTGCTATTCTAGGCTTTCCGCAGATTCCTGGAAGAATACAGCCAGTTAGATTAGTAAAATGTTTTTTCCTAAAAATCTTAAATGAGCATACAGTCTAACCCACTACTGAACTGGTTCCTCAAACTTCTAAAACCCTTTAAGAACCCTATTTCCCTAGCATGCTTAGAGAAATTGTTGCACTATTAAGAGGTCCAAGGACAGTAAACCCCAAAACGATTCAAAGTAGAATTTAATGCTGGGCAACCTGTGAAAAATTAACTTTCTCTAAGCACAAAGAAATATTACAGTGGGCAACAACTGCCATTTGCCAGTTCTCCAGTAAGTCACCCTCACTACACAGTGGATATCCCCACTGGGACTCCACTTGCAAAACTTCAGCAAAGCTGGATGCCCAAGTCTCAGGACAATTCATCCCACTTATTTGAACATGTATTTTAAGAAGGGATGAATCACTTTCTGGAGGTGATTCTTTCACTACATTGATGACAAAGAGAACTCAGATGAATAGCACAGATTATATCAAAGAAGATGAATCCCACTCAGAATAAGAGAAGTTTCACTTCACAAATGGCAGGAATTTAAAAATGAATGGAAGCACAACTCCTTAGGTTCAGATAGTGATTGGCATGGATCTAAAAAATTTCTCCATCTGGAAGACAACAACTTCATTTCAAAACCTTTTTATTACACTAAGTAAAGCTGATGAAATAAATGAGTGCTGCAATCATAGCCTAGGAAAAAAAATTATGATAAGTACTTGGTAATGACTTGTCCTTGTTCATACATCAACTAGGAAGCAAATCCAGAAATAAAATGTAGCTTTCCTCTCATGCGCATTCTTTACCTGAAAAACAATTTAAGCTCTCCCAACATCTTTAGAAGATCAAAACAAGCAGGATCAGGTAGAAAGAACCAGACCATTCTTAGTAGAAGACAGGAATGCCAGGTTACCTTTGGCAGGAAAGTTGAAGGGTTCCTTAGTGAGGTCAGGACAGTCTACAACAGAGACTTCAGCATCAGCAAAGTTTTCTTTAAGCCCTTTCTGCAAAACTATAATAAAGAATAATGGCGAAGTTAGTGAAAATGAAAAAATTACCAAGAGTTTGACAAGTTACTAACAACAATAGATGTATCTGTTTAGGCTTTATTTCAGTAAGATACAGTAGAAAACTTATGTTTACCCTAAATAACACCACTGATTTAAATGTTACTGTCTGTAGGCACTTGCTTCCTGAGTCAGAGCTTCAGGGAAGAGCAAAAGCTTGTTCAGATAATTGTTACCTACCACACTAATTCATTTTTAGAATTTTTAAAACCTTTAAATTGAAATGCAATAACTGTCTGCTCCTGGTGGCACTAGGAGCAGCACAACGTGAAGTAACACGGATAAACTCCAGCCACATTCAGCAGTGGTTTTGCTTCCCAAGAGCAGGCGATTGTGACCGTGGTCAAATATCATACAAGGGCAAAGGAGGAAGGAAGTTTTAGCTGAAGTGACAATCAGTTCTTTAAATGTCTTAATTATATATCTCAAACTGTCTCTGCTTTCTGGAAACTTCTGCCATCACAGGATATTGTCTGTTATGCTTACGTTCATGTGGAGATTTTCTGGCAAGTGCCACTGTCAGTACAGGACAGGTAATGAATGGTGCTGATGATAATGAACAGCCCCGAATCTAAGCTTTTGGGTTTGCTTCATATCAATGCTTTTAGGCAACATCACTCAAACAACATGGAGGATTCTGGCTTAGACAAATGCACTGTTTGGAAACAACTTCCAAACCTTAAGCAATCCCTGAGCATGGGACTGCCTTCACATCTACTACTTCAAATCCCATGGTTAAAGGTCTGAGGGCTTTCATGCCTGGGGGTCTGCTTTAGCAGATGCCTCAAAGCAAGTAACAGAAAATCCAGCCTGTGATCTCAAATCAGACAGTTCCTTATTTACTCAGAAAACTTCCCTGTGCCTTTGCTTCCTCCAATCAGGATTTCAGCCGTAGCTTACTACTTGGGAGCAGAGTTACCTCGCTGTTGACCACCAGGGTCAGTAGAAGGCACTCAGCAGGTTTCTAGATACATCTCAGTACCTTTTGGTAAGTGGAAAAGGGCAGTAAAAGGGCACTTTTGAAATTATATTCAAGAGCTGAGCAGCAACAAAATTCACAGCTTACAGAAGGTCCTCAGGATGGGGCTGGGGGGAGAGAGGAAAATTCTGCTTCACAATCCATCTTTTCTGCTACTGTTTTAAGCTGTTCTGCTGCAAGTACACGCTGTTCTCTGCTGAGCCCACAGGTCTATGGCAGCCCTGGCCCATTGCCCTGCCTGATGGCTACTGGGCAAGAACAGCCCTGAGAACCACACAGGGTGCTGCTGGGACCATGCTTCTGAAAGCATGGAAATGTTAAACTGACACGGATTTGGGAGAGTGGCAGACTGAACTTCAGAATGTCTCTGAAAGAAAAAAAACCCTTTAGTACATCTGCTGCAGGAGACAGACTGCCAGAAGGAATAATGCCTTTATATGAGGGCAAGGAAAGAAGCTCATGAGCAGGGGGGTTGGAGCAGATCATCTCTAAAGGTCTTTTCCAGCCTCAACTGTTCCATTACTCCCAGCACATTTTGTGAGAGCTTTGGAAAGAAAAAATAAATAAAATGTTTCCTGCAGCCTGGTTCTAAGGCAATCACCAAAAAAGGAGCTAACTAAGCTCAAGCTGCCTTGCTACACTGCATCTTATCAGCTGTGTTTTTAGTAATCTTGAAAAAGAAAGAAATATTGGAGGGTAGAGGAGGACAGATGATCCCATATGCATAAGTAAGTTTGGTCTGTAGTTGTCAAACTTTCACAACCCCTGCACAAATCTGTAAATGCAGCAGGCAGTTTTATCAGGTTTGAGAGCCTGTTGGTATGCTTAAATGTCACTTGGTGTTTGGGAGAAGAGTCATTGTTCATTCTAAAGAAATAATAACACATAGAACTGTTGGTATGCTTAAATGTCACTTGGTGTTTGGGAGAAGAGTCATTGTTCATTCTAAAGAAATAATAACATATAGAAAAATAGTGGTTTTCTTTACATCTCAGTATGCTAAGAGCAGGAACATTCACAGAATCACAGAATCATCATGGTTGGAAAGGACCTCTGAGATCACCGATTCTGCATGTACTAGCTGTAGAAGAGTTTTGGTAAGAGCTTTAAGATAAGTTTAAAAAGTACATTGTAAGTTTGCAGAAAGTTACAGGCTGCATGACTTACCCCCAGCAAGCTCCTCCAGACTTGGGACATGAAAAGCAAACCTTTCGACTTTGGCCATTTCCTCACTGGTGCTGATTTCTTCAGGGAAGAAATTACAATGCACCACGCTGTAGGGGAGACTGATCTGTCAACAAGGATAACAGTTTAACCATTAAAACAGGCTTTTTTGTTACTTATTAATGTTACTTATTTTTCAATTTCACTCAGGAAAACACAGACAGCAGTAGAACTGTAGTTCCACCATCAGAGGAAAGACTAACAGCTTTGATATTAATTTTCCTATGCACTTTGGAAGATGTGTCTGTCAGCTCAGCTGGCTCAGAGCATTACATGTTGCTGGTCCCCAAGCTTACAACTGGCTGTAGGCGAAACACATCCCACGCTGAATCCAGTTCAAGGGACAGCTCAGGAGATTTATCTCTCCTTCGTAATCCTGGAGTCACAACTTAGTTTTGAAAGGAAACTGGACTTTTCTGAGCACATGAGCTGCCTCCTCAGGTCTTCCCTACCTTAATGTTTACTTTTCCAGCATTGGCTACGGTGGACTTTCAACTTCAGCAGCGACATGGTCTCTCAAATGATTCTGGGCATGTGTTTCCTGTAGTTCCACCATCAGAGGAAAGACTAACGGCTTTGATATTAATTTTCCTCTGCACTTTGGAAGGAGATGTGTCTGTCAGCTCAGCTGGCTCAGAGCATTACATGTTGCTGGTCCCCAAGCTTACAACTGGCTGTAGGCGAAACACATCCCACGCTGAATCCAGTTCAAGGGACAGCTCAGGAGATTTATCTCTCCTTCGTAATCCTGGAGTCACAACTTAGTTTTGAAAGGAAACTGGACTTTTCTGAGCACATGAGCTGCCTCCTCAGGTCTTCCCTACCTTAATGTTTACTTTTCCAGCATTGGCTACGGTGGACTTTCAACTTCAGCAGCGACATGGTCTCTCAAATGATTCTGGGCATGTGTTTCCCCTGCCGGAGGGGAACAGTCTAGCAGCACAACAGCTAACAACAGCAGCGAGTCCTGCAGTATCAGGCTCTGTACAGGTACAGAACCCACAGCAAAAAGTTTTGTTTGAGCATCAGTTTAAGAACCCATTTGCAAATGAACTATACTTCAGTCAGCCTTGCCACAGCAAAGTCAGCTACTAGCTCAGGGCAGAAACAGCTGATTATACACTACCTGTAAATCAGCCACAGCAATCATTAACTCCTTAGGCACGAGCCTGCTGCACACAGCAGAAAAAGAAAATGGGGCTCAATTATCCAAATCTCAGGCCTTGGAGGAAAAAGGCAAAAGCCTAATTACATTCTCAGACATGACAGAGCTCCTGTTAGGAAGGACTATGATGTTGGCTAGCTGTTAAGGTATACTTTTAGCTTCTATTTTAAAAATACCCTAGCTTTTATGATTGTTGAAAATCATATACCACAGGCCTCTCAACTCTGTGTAAAAGGGGAAAAAAGCTAGTGGAAAAAAAAAAGAAAAAAAAGAGTTGGGAGATCATGCTATTTTAAAAATACCCTAGCTTTTATGATTGTTGAAAATCATATACCACAGGCCTCTCAAGTCTGCGTAAAGGGAAAAAAAAGCTAGTGGAAAAAAAAGAAATAAAAAGAGTTGGGAGATCCTAGCAGTTACCTAACCAAAGTCTTTGAGCTCAAAGTTCAGCCACCCCAAATTACTGCTGTAGCAAGCAGTTGAGAAAGGGAGAAAGACAGCTACCTGTGTACAGTAATTCTCATCTTAGCTGGTCTTACCCAACTCCCTCCCCCCTCTGGCTGTGGAGGAGAGAATAACAGGCTGGATTTGGTGCCTCTGGCAGAAGGCTGCTGTCAGATGGAAAGAATCAGGCTCCAAGACTGTAAGTGTGCACCAAACACAAAAAGGGAGCAATTCAGTCAGAGAAAAAAAAGTGAGAAGATGGCTTTGGCAGCATTGTTTTAGATGGTACTCATCCCCTCAAGAACCCTTTGCCATGTCCAGTAGGAAGCTGTGCCAGCAACTCAAGACACCAGTTGAAAACAGACTTGAGAAGACAGGCGAGGGCTGCTGTTGAGCAAAAGGCAGCGGCAAGAGACTTGGACACAGTTCAAGTAAGCAGGCTCAGATGTAGCATCTAGACCACTGCTTGCTGTTTAAAGGACAATAGTCAGCTCCCCACAACCAAGAGGGGGAAAGACTGCGAAAAGCTCGATGTACCATAACAAACCTGACTGCTAAACAGTAGCACTTACCGGGAAGGCCACAAAAGAGAAGTAGATCTGTCAGTCACCACTGCAAGGAGAGCATCCACAGGGGAGTTTGTCTGGTGTGGGAGAGCCTGAAAGGAGACAACACACAATTAGGATCCATCGTGGTGGGGTGCAGTGACACTGAATTACTACAGAAGACTTTCAAAGCAAGAACACAAGTTCTAAAAGAACAATAAGATTATTAGATCTGGGATGGTGCAACAAGAATGGCGAGAACAAGCATCTAGGAACACTTGAGAAACCTATCGTTTTGAAGCAGGAAGCACAGACCAGAGAGAGTAGTCAAAGGGCAGGAGAATGCAATGAAACAGGAACCACGATATTAATGGGGTGGGGAGAGTTGCCTAGTATCAAAAATCTGAATGAAAACTAGAGTAGAGAGTAGAAGCCAGAAAGGGGAGGTTATGGGCAGGCGAGAGATGAGTCAGGGTGGGGGGAAAAATGAATACATGGGAAAACCTGAAGATGCAGTCGGGGAGAGGAGAGAAATTTAGCGATGACGCCAAGAAGAGCAAAGACAAAACTCCAGATGCCTCCTCAGAGCCTGTGTTCCTCAGCCGGGGCCGGGCAAGGAGCTCCAGGCGAGAGATGAGTCAGGGTGGGGGGAAAAATGAATACATGGGAAAAAGATGCAGTCGGGGAGAGGAGAGAAATTTAGCGATGACGCCAGGAAGAGCAAAGACAAAACTCCAGATGCCTCCTCAGAGCCTGTGTTCCTCAGCCGGGGCCGAGCAAGGAGCTCCCGCCCGCGGCAGGGGCAGGCGGCGGGACCGCAGGGGCGGCGGGACGCGGGGAGCGGCGGGACCTGGAGCCGGGCGGGACCGGGCTTCCCAGGGAGAGCAGCCGGGCAGCGCGGGAGAGCAGAGCGCGGGAGCAAAGAAACACCAAAGCCGACGCTGCGAGGGGAAAGAGGAGGTTATTCAGGCCGGAGCCGGGGGGGAGCAGAGGCAGGACAGCGGCTGCGAGAGCCCGACGCGTCAAGGAGCAGCCCCTCACAGCGAGCGGGAACTGCGCCCTGAGGGGGAGCCGCGACCCCGCGGGAGAGACGGGGAGAGGCCGAAGCGGGGCGGAGAGGGGGGACACACAGCCAGCCGGCAGCTGCCCCGCGATCCCCGGCCCCGCACCCGCTCGCCGTTAGCGCCTTGACCGGACGTACCTGCCCCGCCGTCCGGGCTGCGCGGCGGCACCGCCTCCCCTCCGGGGACGGACGGACCGCCCGCCCCGCCACCCCCAGCATGGCGGCGGGAGGAGGCCCGTCCTTCCTGCCCTCCCTCCCGTCACCCCCCGCACCTCTCGCGATCGCCCGGCGCTATTTAAGCTCCAGGGCGGCCATTTCGCGCCCTTTGGGGCGGCGGTGCGCGAGGCAGCGGGGAGGTAGGTGAGGGCGAGCTCCGCATCCGCCTCCATCCGCGGCGCCTGAGGCAGCGGGAGCCAAGGAGCCGGGTGAGGGCGGCCGTATCGAGCCGTGGCCGCTCGCCCAGCGCTCCACCGGGGAGCCCGCCAGCGGGGGAGGGCCAGGGGCGCGGGGTGGCCTCCGTTCCCCCCGGGAGCGGGCGGAGCGGCGGCCGCCGGTGAGGCTGTTCTCGGGAGCGGTGCCGGTGGGTGCCCAAAATGTCCGCCCTGGCGCCCGTTGGGGTGGGGGGGGTGGGGGGGGCGAGCGGTGCGTCCTTTCGGCCTGAGGTAAATGTCGGTGAATTAATCGATGGCTCCTTTTGGGAGGAGAGAATATGACGTGAAATAATCAGCCGGTTACATGTCGGTTGTTTTTCTGCCTCAGGAGGTGCGTCCGGTGTGCTGGCCGCGAGGAAGGGAGCTGCGGGAGAGGCGGTGAATGATGCTGAGCTGCCAGCTGTACAGGCACAGCCCCCGTAGTTAATAGTGCTGTTGCCGTGTGTGCTCCTGCTTTTATTTTAGGTTGTTCCGTCTCCGGACGCTGTGTTTGTGAAGTCCTGGGTGGACTGACAGTAGTGGTTCGTTTGTCCAGGGCACAACACTGCAGGTTTCTGTCAAAAATCCCTTTTCCTCACAGCGAACGGCAGAATTGGGCCTCTGCCCTGCTCTTTTAAGTGTGTTAGGATGAGTTTAAGGTCTAGGGTACTTTTATGAAATATTTTCATTGTGAAAAGTGCAGCAGGGGAAGTTCTGCCTTCAACAGTTAAATGATGCAAAAAGCTATCTAAACATAAACTGTTTAAAATTCAATCAGTGGTGTATGGCTGCAGCAGACTTACAATATTTTATCTGCTGTGTTCTGAGAATAAGTTTGAGGTCACTGTAGCTGTATGGCTAAGAGAGGAATTGGAAGTTAATATGAGCCATCATGGTGGTTTGTGTTCTGTAGCCATTGGTTCTGGCTTGCTGTTATTATTCTTTACTGCCGGTCGATATGTATCTGCAGTGCTTTCAGACTTATCAGTTTGCTGGGCAGCCTGCTTGCTGGATCCCTGCAGTAATCTGTACGCTGAAGTGTGGAACTGCTATCCAGACAACAGCACGTTATCTGAGGACAGCAGATGAGTTTGGCTATAGTGCATTCAGGTGCCAAACTGTGTGTTTGAAGTATTAATGGGTATGAGATTGTATGAGTTATGAGGTTATAAAGGCTTATCAAGCATTGGAATAGGCTGCCCAGGGAAGTGGTTGAGGCACCATCCCTGGAGGTATTCAAAAGACGGGTTGTCATAGTGCTTAGTGATACGGTTTAGTGATGGGGTTTTTTATAGAATCATAGAATGGTTTGGGTTGGAAAGGACCTTAAAGATCATCTAGTTCCAACCCCCCTGCCATTTTTATCAGAGTTAGGTTGACGGTTGGACTAGATGTTCTTACCTAGACAATTCTATGATTCTGCGATGATGGGCTTGTGAAACTATAAAAAGCACAGTAAAATTTATAAGATACAGATCTACAGGGCTAGTAAACAACTAACACACAGGTAAAATAACTTGAGGCTGTCACATAGGAATGGCACTGTGGTGTGTTTCAGTCCCTTTGTATAGACTTGAGGAGCTGAAGGGGTGGATTGGGTTGTTTTGCAGATTAAACTGAAAATGAACCTTTTCATTGTGGGGCTAGTCCCCAGGTGGATTGATAACCAGTGAACAAAGGGCTGATAGATGGTTAGAGCTGGAGGCTTTAGGTATCACTAGCCAGCAAACGAACAGAGGGAAGATGGCATTGCTTCTGATGATGCTGCTGTCTTAGATCAGTTTTAAAAAGCTGTAAACCACAGTAAAGTATTTGTGTATGACTTAAAACTACATTATCCTTACAAGTATAAGGCACTGTTGGCTACATGCATCTGTGCTTATATGAGGGAAAACTTATTGCTAGGAAGGGGAGGGTTAAAACATGCAGAACACACCTGTAGTTCTGATGTAAGTTTCTATACTAAGTTTCTGATGGAACTCTGAAGTTAGCCTTGCTTTTAGTAGGAGTTGGACCAAAAGAGCTGTAAAAATCTCTTCTGACCTAAATTATGCTATGATTATCTTGAGATAAGTGGTTGCATCTTAACTGTTACTATGAAGGTTAATACATTTGCTCGTGGTTCATAGGGAAATCTTTGCGTATTATTTTAAGTTCACCCTATTAGGTGGAGTGGTGGAAGGCTTGTTACCTAATTAACATAGAATTTTCTTTAATTTCTGGTGGACCCGCTCTGAGAGGCGGTTGGATTAGATGATCTCCAGAGGTCCCTTCCAACCCCATATCATTCTGTGATTTTTAGGGCGAACTGAAACATGACTGATACAGATGAGTCACAGTCTTCTGACTCTGATGACTCTGATGCCCGAGAGCTGATGTGCAGTCAGCAGAAAGAACCATATAATGAGGTACATGCACATGAAAAAAATACACGAGTGGAGTGTTCACTTTCAAGGCAGAAGAATGGTGCTCCTGAGGAGTCTTCAGATGAGCTTAACAGTACGTACAAATCTTCAGATGGGATTTTACTGGACAGCAGTGATTCAGAAAAGTGAGTTTTTATCTCTAGTTAAAGTTTTTCATGCAAAGAACCTGTGTCGTTTATCATAAAAGTATACATTCTTTTGAAAGTAATTATTTTTTTCTTCTTCAGTGATGTCTCTGCTGCTAGTGGCAGTGAGTACCATCCTAGGTGCTCCATTGCACCTTCAAAGGAAAAGAGATCTGAATCTTCAGAGCAACAAGCTGAATCTGTTGCAGGAGCATGTGACAACCAAAGCTCTTCAGATTCTTCTCTGTCCCCTCCAAGTCCAGTGAAATCATCTGAAACTTCCACCAAGAAATCAAAATTCAACTTGAAAGCCATTTTTGCTTATCACTTCAGGGGAAAGAAGTTTAAGGCTGCTGCACACCGAAAATATAAGTGTGGCTCAGGCAAGAAGAAGAGGAGAAAGTATGTGAGCACACAGATGCCTACGGGGAGGCCACCCCTGACAGCCTCACCTCAAGAGCGAAAGAGAAGGCTTCTACACAGAGGCTTTCAATTCCCCTTCGTTGAAAAATATTATGGGAAGAAACATATTCCCTTAAAGATGGTTCTTGGCTATGAGGTGAGCCCTCTGTTTGGTGGGATAAATGTAGTATTGGGGTTTTTTAGTCTAAAAATGAAGGGAATTTAAATTGGCTTCTACCTGATGCGCTACAATAAACAATGAAACACTTTTAACTTCTGTTAAACAGGACATTTCATGTTGTCTGTCTAATAATTTTAAGACAAACAGGTGAAATATGGGTGTCAATATAACATCGTAATGTAGTTCGTAATATAAATGCTTTATAGTGGTATCTTTAAGATCTCACCTCATGCATTTTTCTTTAGCAAGCAGCTGCAAAGGGGTATTTCCAGTACATTGAAATGCTTAAATACGAAGAACATCTTAGAAAAGCTTTGAAAGCCCTTCAGGCCAGTGAAGACTTAGAAAGAGAATGTCTGGTGGTACGGAAACACAAATACTTAGATGATGAAGGCCCCATTTCCCCTATTCAGGAGACGAAGTAAGTTCATTCTTATATTTTCAGGTGGTATAAAACTTGCTGTTTTGTTCTTAACTAAAATATAAGTTTGTGTCTATTACGGATAGATGCATCAAACACACAGACACAACTCTTGGTCACCCCTGGCCTGTGTGCTGGCGTGGGGAGGGCATCAGTGCTGCTCTAGTCACAAACCTAAAACACGGCACCATACAGGCTGCTGTGGGGAAGGCTGACTCCATCCCAGTCAGACCAGTACAATCTTCTGCTCTTACAGTGGAGTTCAGGAGGTAGTATAGTTCCTTGTAGGAGCATGCAAGTTTGTGACAGAGTTGTAGATATATCAAGCTGAGTTCCTATGCTGTCCTTTTAGCCTATATCAGCATTGTGTGATCTAAATGTGAATATCTGCTGATGTAAGCATTGTTTATTTTGGGAAGAAAGTACTTAGCCGCTGTAAATGTGAGTTGGAGCTTTTTGCAGAATGAGGTATTTTTAATGTGAAGACTGATCATTGTTTCAAATGGTGATGTGTACAGTCTCATTAAAATGACACAGTAGAAATGTTTTTAAAAAAGGTATTTCCTTAATTTAGTCCCTCTATAGTTTTCCCAAATAAAGATGTGGAGTGTTTTATGCCAAAGGCTAAAAGATATGTTTTTAATTTCCTTTTTACTTTCTTAAGCATTGAAGTATCAGTTTAGATCTTTATGGTCAGTTAACTTAAATGTAGTAAAGGGATCAGTAAATCAATGAGGATAATTAATGTTATAAATATACTCAGCACCTAAAACTAACAAGCCTAACAGACAGTGTAAAGGTACGAAGCTCTTTGAGCTACTGTTGGCTTTAATAATGACTTACACTGCTAATTTATCTGAGTTGAAGTATTAGGTTGAGCCTGTAAAATCAGTAACAATAAATAATTTCCTTTCTTAAAAAAGCAGAACAAGGAAAGTTCTGTAGAATAAATACAAGCCAGCTCATCCAGGACTCGATTCTTGATATTTTATGAGTACTAGAAGACCAGTGAGGTTTTGGAACCAGTCCTCTGGTGCCACTTGTTAAAAACCATAGTACTAAAATGGCTTCATCTCTTTCTGGGGAGTTCTTTCTATCTTGAGAGAAAAACCTGTGGGCAGTAGTGGGATTTCATACTAGTTTCATGGCAGTCTGGAGATAATCTCAGCTGTTGTGTCTCAGCTGAGGTCTCTTTCCTCACTGTATTCTGCTTGTTTTCTGACTTGCTGACTTTCTAGCATGTTTGCCAGTGTAATCCTAAGTATCTCAGTACCACTAACAATGGCTACTACTAAGTCTGTTCTGCTGACCACTGCTTCCATCCTGCCAGTGTGACTAGTTGGGATGGAATTCTGCTGTCAGAAACTAACATTTGAGAACAATGTCATGTACAAGTAGTTATATCTTATAGTTATATCTTACACCTACAAGCTGTAGTGCTTCCATATGCATTAAGAGAAAACAGGGCTTGTAGTAGAAAAGTAGTTTACACATTGTAGCCTACTGTAAAAGTGCAGAGCTTGATCTGAATTTCTGTATTTCAGTGATGACGATGACAGCTTGAATTCTGATAATCCAGGAGACTTTGATGCCAGAGTCGTGGTGAGTAAATATTCCTTAACTTCAGAAACTCTCTAACCTTCTTTCTCTTCTGAGTTTAAAGAATTAGTAGATGTTTTCAGTACTTAATTCTTGAGCTTAGTTCCAGAGTTACCTGTATGATACTTATGAATCTTGATATGGAATGCAGAGGGAAGTTGTTTTAAGAGTCCACACTCTCCTCTTCGGAAGTAATGCTGGAATGGGTTGGAATTCTAGAGTTCTCTGAAGGGTTCTTAAAATCTTCAAAGTTACTGTCAAAATTTTACCTCTTAAGTGGCTCAGAACTAGACTTGTGAATTTTTCTGTCTCCCATTTGCATAGGAGAACAGCTCTTTCATTATAAGCAGCAAAATTCCCAGTAAGAAAAAATCCAAGCCGGAAAGGAAACATGCGAAATCAGTTGAAGTGATCGAAATAGAGGAAGATGACTCTGCTTCTGAGAACTCCGTGATTCTGCAAAGTTCCCCTCAGTGAACGGAAAACTAAGAAATGAGATGGCAGTGATCTCTCCTCACATTCCTTTCTCATGGCCGACTTGACTTAAACCACTGATCTGGAGGGAATGTTGAGCTGTCAACCAAGCAACCTAGGCAGATTTGGTTTAAGGTGAGTATATTGGGCTTGTGTCCAAGACGGTTACAAAACAAGTGTGATCTGCCTTTTTGCTAAGCTTTTGAGTGTCTTCTGTGCTGTCCTGTACCAGCTGTGTAATATCCTTGATTCAGTGGCTCATAATCTTCCTGAAATGCAACTTCTGCGACTTGACTTCTGTTAACCAATGGATCACAGAATTTATGTAATTGAAAATAGGAAAACAAGTTCCAAATATTGTAACAGAAGTGGCACAGTATAGAAAAGTGCATGTGCATCATACATATACATGCTCGTGTTACAAAGAGCAATTTGGACCCCTTTTCTCTTTCATAGCTGACTTTTTGTGGGTGGTGCTTGAGGGGTTTTCTGTATCTTAAGGAAATGTAGATTATACTCTGAAATACTTTAACAGCTGAGTAAGGCTTAAAGACAGAATTGAAGCTTAACACAGATCTTTGTGTCAACAGTAAAATGTAAAATTGTTAGCTTGGACAAAAGTCCGTTAATGCATTCTAATGATGATAAAACCAATCTGTTTGATTGAGGTTGTCTATTCCATGTGGAATAACTTTTCTGAAAACTAATTTTCTGCTCCTGAATGTAATACAATTGTTTGAAGTTCTAAGTTATTTTAATAACTGCAGCAGCACAGTGAATCTTAAAAGATTCTTTTCCCCCTCTTGCTGTCCTGTCCAGAATGGGGCCTGATATCAATGTGACTAAGCAGACCATGAAAGCTCTTTCTAAATGAAAGTACTTAAAAAGCATTGCCCCAGTTGCAAATAGTTTTCTCAAAGGTGTTTTGAACAGCTGGGAATGTGACTAGTGAATGTGTGGAAATGGTCTGAAGGTGGCTAACTCCTAGACAGCAAGGCTGTTTTGGTAGCAGTGGAAATAAAGTGCTTGAGAAGTTGACTTGTGAATCAACAAGATGATTGTTCAACTCAAATACTCAACTCTGTCGAGCTGAGTAAGGCTTAAAGACAGAATTGAAGCTTAACGCAGATCTTTGTGTCAACAGTAAAATGTAAAATTGTTAGCTTGGACAAAAGTCCGTTAATGCATTCTAATGATGATAAAACCAATCTGTTTGATTGAGGTTGTCTATTCCATGTGGAATAACTTTTCTGAAAACTAATTTTCTGCTCCTGAATGTAATACAATTGTTTGAAGTTCTAAGTTATTTTAATAACTGCAGCAGCACAGTGAATCTTAAAAGATTCTTTTCCCCCTCTTGCTGTCCTGTCCAGAATGGGGCCTGATATCAATGTGACTAAGCAGACCATGAAAGCTCTTTCTAAATGAAAGTACTTAAAAAGCATTGCCCCAGTTGCAAATAGTTTTCTCAAAGGTGTTTTGGACAGCTGGGAATGTGACTAGTGAATGCGTGGAAATGGTCTGAACGTGACTAACTCCTAGACAACAAGGCTTTCTTGGTAGCAGTGGAAATAAAGTGCTTGAGAAGTTGACTTGTGAATCAACAAGATGATTGTTCTACTCAAATACTCAAGTCTTTCAGCAACAAACTAACAGCTGTTCAGCAGCTAAAGGTAGTTTGTGCTGAACAGGGATGTTGTCAGAAAAAGTATCTACTGGCTTAATTTCCTTCAAAATGTAACTGATGGTCTGAGGAGATTTACAGTAGGTGCTCACACCGAGAGCAGATCAAATTGCATTCCTCATATGCTGAAATTAAGGTCCCAGATCTTCATAAAGGAAGTTTGGGGGTTCCCAGTTGCAACTTGGTAGCTCTAGGGAGTAAGGCTGCAAGAATTACTTTTTACTAGTTAAAGATCCCATTTACTATTGGTCCAAAATTAATGGCAAAATGTAACTCTTTTAGGCATCTACCTGAGAAATACTCTGTATGGCTTGAGAGGCTCATCCTGGACCTGGGAGTGGGGTTCTTGCCTGGTAAGGCCTAGCGAGGTGGTGCGTGGGGTCTCGCTCATTCTGCAGTTCATGTGATGAATTTTTCTGTTCAACTGCTGAGTGACTCAGAAATGAACTAAATTTCAATTCTGATTAGAACTGGATAAATATACATGAAAATCAAGCTTATTACAACTGTTAAATCGATTGCTGAAACCTGGCTTTTTGGCTGTAGCAGTCTTCACTTATTTCACAGTATCTGATAGTTCTTATCACTTTGCTTTTTTCCTTCTAGTTCATGTTGCTTTTGGAAGATGAAATACTGCTCAAATTTCTTGGATGTGCAAGGTAAGCTCTTACTTGGCTTGCAGTTCCTGTTTTCTTCAGATAGCCTTTTCACTTTACTTGGTTAAATGTTTTTTAAAAACAGTAATTGGTAGTTCAAGTGAATACATGGCTGTGTTCCAGAGCAGTGCAGCTTCTGTGTGAAGCTTCTGAGGTCTCCAAAATTGAGTTCAGGGTAACGTCTCTTTAGTCAGTCTGACCAAAATTAGAGCCTGTTGCCTTTGCTTGAATGAAAACTATAACTTCTTGAATACCTGTATATTAAATGCAATTTTATTAGAAGTTATGTATAGAAATATTTTGATTTTACCCGATGTTGAATGCTGCAGGGCAGCTCCATCTGTTTTGGTTCAGACAATACCTGGGATCTTCTCTGCTTATGATGCAGGAGAAGTTCTGTAGGTGTAATCTCCTGGTGGTGCCTCACCCACTCTTTCTGTCCTGGGCTGTTGGTACAGCTGCACCCTCTGATTGCTTCCCTCTGGTATAATTTCATTTCAATGCCTGTCCTGTGCAAGAACAGGAGGGAGAGCAGAAAAGAGCTGTTAGTCTTGAAAGTACATATTGCTGAAGCTGTGGAACTTGTCACCAAGTTTGTGTGGCTTCAGGAGAGTCTAGGAAATGGCATGGAAGACAGTGCCATGTAAGATTACTGGGCTGGAAAACATCTTTAACATAGAACCGTAGAATGGTTAGAGTTGGAAGGGACCTTAAAGATCATCAAGTTCCAACCCCCTGCTGTGGGCAGGGACACCTCCCACTAGAGCAGGTTGCTCAAACATGGGAAGCCCTGAGCTGAAGCTGGGCAAGTAATGAAACCTTGCAAGAATGTACTTCAGTGAGAGGCTAGGAACAGGGCATGGGGTTTGGCCAGTGAGGGTACTGGGCTAGCTAACATCCGATTTGACACAGCAGAAATTGTTCTTATGACAGTGTATCTGATACCGAACTTCTTGCCACAGTTACCTTAGTCCAAACTATACCTGTCTCTAAAAACAGAACATAGTAGCAGGAGGTGACAGTTATTAATGGTAAGTATATAGTAAACTGAGAAACAGTGTTAAATCAAGTTTCAAGAATAGTGGGGAAAATGAAAGCGTCTCGCTCATTCTGCAGTTCATGTGATGAATTTTTCTGTTCAACTGCTGAGTGACTCAGAAATGAACTAAATTTCAATTCTGATTAGAACTGGATAAATATACATGAAAATCAAGCTTATTACAACTGTAAATTGATTGCTGAAACCTGGCTTTTGGCTGTAGGAGTCGTCACTTATTTCACAGTATCTGATAGTTCTTATCACTTTGCTTTTTCCCTTCTAGTTCATGTTGCTTTTGGAAGATGACATACTGCTCAAATTTCTTGGATGTGGAAGGTAAGCTCTTACTTGGCTTGCAGTTCCTGTTTTCTTCAGATAGCTTTTTTGCTTTACTTGGTTAAATGTTTTTTAAAAACAGTAATTGGTAGTTCAAGTGAATACATGGCCATGTTCCAGAGCAGTGCAGCTTCTGTGTGAAGCTTCTGAGGTCTCCAAAATTGAGTTCAGGGTAACGTCTCTTTAGTCAGTCTGACCAAAATTAGAGCCTGTTGCCTTTGCTTGAATGAAAACTATAACTTCTTGAATACCTGTATATTAAATGCAATTTTATTAGAAGTTATGTATAGAAATATTTTGATTTTACCCGATGTTGAATGCTGCAGGGCAGCTCCATCTGTTTTGGTTCAGACAATACCTGGGATCTTCTCTGCTTATGATGCAGGAGAAGTTCTGTAGGTGTAATCTCCTGGTGGTGCCTCACCCACTCTTTCTGTCCTGGGCTGTTGGTACAGCTGCACCCTCTGATTGCTTCCCTCTGGTATAATTTCATTTCAATGCCTGTCCTGTGCAAGAACAGGAGGGAGAGCAGAAAAGAGCTGTTAGTCTTGAAAGTACATATTGCTGAAGCTGTGGAACTTGTCACCAAGTTTGTGTGGCTTCAGGAGAGTCTAGGAAATGGCATGGAAGACAGTGCCATGTAAGATTACTGGGCTGGAAAACATCTTTAACATAGAACCGTAGAATGGTTAGAGTTGGAAGGGACCTTAAAGATCATCAAGTTCCAACCCCCTGCTGTGGGCAGGGACACCTCCCACTAGAGCAGGTTGCTCAAACATGGGAAGCCCTGAGCTGAAGCTGGGCAAGTAATGAAACCTTGCAAGAATGTACTTCAGTGAGAGGCTAGGAACAGGGCATGGGGTTTGGCCAGTGAGGGTACTGGGCTAGCTAACATCCGATTTGACACAGCAGAAATTGTTCTTATGACAGTGTATCTGATACCGAACTTCTTGCCACAGTTACCTTAGTCCAAACTATACCTGTCTCTAAAAACAGAACATAGTAGCAGGAGGTGACAGTTATTAATGGTAAGTATATAGTAAACTGAGAAACAGTGTTAAATCAAGTTTCAAGAATAGTGGGGAAAATGAAAGCTGATGCATTCAGCCCACAGGGCAGCTCCATCTGTTTTGGTTCAGACAGTACTTGGGATCTTCTCTGCTTACGATGCAGGAGAAGTTCTGTAGGTGTAATTTCCTGGTGGTGTAGCCTCCTGTTTCAAGAACAGTGGGGAAAAGGAAAGCCGATACATTCAGTCCGTTCTAGCACGTGTTCAGTTTTTGTCTGTTGCTGTAGACAAAAACCTGGAACCTAGTGCTTAGAAAAAAACCCTTCTTTTGCAACCCACAGCTGATGAACATATTAGTTGTGTTACTTATATGAAGGGACAATGTTTTCATGTATTGACACAACAGTTCATTCAAATACTGGTGAATCTAGGGCGTGGGTTTCATGTTGCAGAAGTGGAGTGATACCAGTTCCTTTCCAGACTCTGCAGATGAACACACCAGGTCAGCAGCAGTCAGCAGCTCTTGCTTTTTTTTTTTTTTGCACAGCTTGAATTCTTGACAGCTATTTGCTGACCTTCTGATGTACAAACCTGTTACTTGGATGGACTTCAGTGTAATGTGTTAGTGGAAGAGGTGAGTGAGCTTTGTGTTTCTCCTGAACTTCAGCACAAGAGTGTTAAATTTTTTCAGACAAGTACTATTTCCTGTAGGAAGTAATCTGATTTAATTTGTGCACTGTATGGTATCTGCACCCAGCAGTATCTTCCTGATGGGGTGTTCAAAAAGCAGTGCTACAGTATTTCAGCAGCTGGCATCGTTGGTTTTCATGCAGATGTGCTGGTTAAACTTGGTATTTCTGTTGAAACAAGTAGATTAAAGATTTCTTATTGGAAAGCTTGGATGAGGTGTTCAAAAAGCAGTGCTACAGTATTTCAGCAGCTGGCATCGTTGGTTTTCATGCAGATGTGCTGGTTAAACTTGGTATTTCTGTTGAAACAAATAGATTTAAAAATTTCATATTGGAAAGCTTGTCAGATACAACATTGAAGAACTGTTGAACTGTTACAGGATAAAAGTACAATTAAATTTATGACCTTGTTCCAAAATATTTCTTCTTAAAGGGGCATTTTTGTGATGCCTGGAACACAGTGGAAAGCTTCTACTTAAGGGTGAGTATCAAGGAAGTAGTTGTGTTTTCCTAGATGGAGGTAGTTGGATGAGGATCATAAAAGCTCAGATCTTAGCTTTTTGGTTGCCTTTTTACAAAGAAACAATATTTTTGTTTTGAAACAATAATAGCCAGATGGCAGCTAGTGGCATGTTTCAAAGTTAACTGGCCAGGCTTTAAAACTGGAAGCTATTCTGCAGATGCTGTGAAGAAGTTAATTATGTTTTTCTAGATGGAGGTAGTTGGATGAGGATCATAAAAGCTCAGATCTTAGCTTTTGGTTGCCTTTGTAAAAAGAAACAATATTTTGTTTTGAAACAGAAATACCCAGATGGCAGCTAGTGGCATGTTTCAAAGTTAACTGGCCAGGCTTTAAAACTGGAAGCTGTTCTGCAGATGTTGTGAAGAAGTTAATTGCTATGCCTCGTTATTCAGCAAATAGACACAACTCACTGTGTGTCTGAATTGAAGAACGTGGCTAGAAGAGTAACAGGTTGTGCTTTCCTCACTGTACAGTTAATTGCAGTGGTGACAATGAGACCTGTAACAGGTTTGCTTAGTGGGACAATGATGCAAATGTAGTTAAAGATGCAACTACTGTAGAATCCCAAGGATAGGCTTGTTTTGGTGATTTTTGAATTCTGCATCCTGCCCACTAAAGGAAGCAGAAGTAGCAGGTAGAGGAAAAATACTTATTGTAGATGGCTTATTATGGCACTTTTGTAAGCTGTCTTAAAATAGTATGTTGTAAGCATTTTCTTTACATCACAGAACCAGCTGGCTGTTGGGTGACTCCCTCGGTTTTATCTTCTGTGCTGTAATACTCCAATTCTTTAAATTGCTGATTTAATTTTGTTGATGGTTGTGTGATATGATAAGAAATGCTTAGTTTTGGCATTAGCATTTAGACAGTGTAACTGGCCTGCACCTGCCTGCATCGCTGATGGTTGTGTGATATGATAAGAAATGCTTCGTTTTGGCATTAGCATTCAGACAGTGTAACTGGCCTGTGGCCTGCCTGCATCGTATTTAGTATAAAAGTATCTAAGTCTTAATAAATTACTTAAAATACTGAAGAAACTTGGAACTGTTACTCACATGCAACAATTTGCTTCTTTCTAGGAAGTCCACACCATGGTCCAGTCTGAACTAGCCTCTTGGTAAGTTAGTGTGACAGGTGGTTTTTTAACCCTTGCCTGTTGCAGGTTAGCTGCCTGTAGCTTGGTGAGCTGGTTATGTTGCTTTAGATAAGAGCTTACCTTCCCCTAAACTTCAGAATGTTGTGAGAAAATTGTTGTGATGATTGGCAAAATGTTCAACTGCTCTGAAAAGAGTGAGTGAGAATAGCCTTTCTGAACAAATTACTACATGAGTGTCCTTGTCATGTCACCTTATTCTGGGCATCTGAGTATTTAGCATGCAGTGGTTTGTATCACTGAGCAAAGATCATGAATAAGCATGCAGTGGTTTGTATCACTGAGCAAAGGTCATGACTTTCTTTTAAAAATAAACAGGAAATAAGAACTGTCAAATTAAATAGGATAATTCCAAATACAGGCCATCAGAAACACCTGGGGGGTTACAACCACTTGAGTGCTCTGCTGGTTTGTCTGGGTGTACGTGTCAGTTTGTAACACTGTCCTGCTTTTTCAGGTGATATGTAATTAGAGAAAACGTGAGAAGAAGTTGAGGATGCTGCTTCACAGAAAACTGAAGCCTCTTCTAGGTTAGTGCAATATCTGAGGTTCTGCATATTCCTTAATGATCAGAGGGCTCTGGTTTTCCATGGCTGGAAGTCTGTATCACATGAAGCTTACTGACTTGTGGAGTGTTTCAGGGACTTAATTCAACGCTATTTTGGTGTATTTTAGTGTAGTATTCACTCTGTTAAGTGAAGAATTTCTTTTAAGTTTGATTTGTCCAAAAAACACTCATACACATTTCTAAAAAAGGATGTGATCAGCTTAACTATTGAAACTGATCGTTTTACTTCTACACGTTATGCTTAGCAGGAAAGTTATAGGGAGGATTCTGTGTGAGTACAATTTTGTGGTTAATTCCCTTTGTTGTTTGCCCTTAGTTACCATTAACTTCTAACATTTAAACTGTTGCTAATATGAAGATGTTACTTTGTATTCCCCAAGTGTTAGTGTATCATTTACCTTCCTCCTCCACCCTGATGTCTTGAAACCAGTTAAAAAGACACTTAGTAGGAACTATGAGACCTTTCCAGCCTGCTTGATTTGTATGTACTTGTTCATTTATGCTATTGGGAGTGCTGAGGTCTATCCCGATGGGATCTCCTCTGTAGGTTCATGTCGTTGGAAACGCCTCACAGAATAAACTTGTGGTTTCGCTTTACCCATTGAGCTACCTGTTAGCTCTGTGGGATAAAACTGCAAGACAAACCTCGGCAGAAGCAGCATCCTAGGAACTGTAATAACACCTTATGTTCTCCTGTAGGCACTGACTTACACTTTTGGTACAAAGGAAAGTGATTCAAGTGGAAAAGCTTGGTAAGAGCCAAAAGATGGTGTGTTCTGGGACTTGGAGTATAACCATGTGGAATTGCATGGGCTGAACTTGCTGTTCAGCCAGATTTTTTTCTGTAGTTACCTGATTTCTAACCTTATTTCATGTGAGTTGAGTTTTTTGGAAAGAGTTCCCTTCTTGATCATGGAGTGATTATTAATTCTTGGTTTGGTGGCTGTAAGTAAGGAGAGACAGCACTGTCTGAACTTAACTCCATAAACGTGCTGCATTCTTGTTCTGTGTTAAGAGATGTTTGATAGTTTCATACTGAGCTGCAAATTGGGTTTATATCTTTAAGTTTGGGTTTTAAAGAGCTAATTTCTGAGCAGCTCAGCCAGTTTACTACTATACCATTAAAATTCCTGGTTTCTGTTCTATAGAATACAGGGTTTAAAGTAAAAAAAGCAAAATGCTCTGTGGAGGAAGTATAAATCCTTCATGGTAGGAATATATAACATCTCAGAAGAATTCTGAAACTGCCCTTCCTCTTAAGAAATTCATGGAGTCTCTCTCTCGTGAGTTGGAGGGCAGCTTTTGTGAAGTGAGGAGTCCATCAGTGTCGCTTGTCGCTAGACACTGGTGCCTACAAAAAGCTGGAGTGTTGTGGATGAAGGGCTGCTGCAGCTCTTGCACTGTGTGGTATCTGCACCCAGCAGCCTTCTCCTGGTGGGGTGTTCAAAGAACAGTGCCACAGTAGCTCAGCATTTGGCATCGTTGGTTTTCATTCTGCCGTGTCTGTGAAACCTGGTATTTGTGCTGGTACAGCCTCTGTCCTCACTGGGGATTTGGGTATTTGGGTGTACTCACTAAGTTCCTGTTTCAGGGTGAGAACTGGATATTGGGACTCAGCAAGTGCATTCAGTTTATTTTTCTTTTTTTTTTTTTTTTTTTTTTCGGGGGGTTTTAAAAAAACAAAAAAATTG